GGGGGGGGGGGGGGGGGGGTGCGGATGGCGTGTCTTCCTGTACCGCTGTTCAATCTTCGGACGGACTCCCAACACACAGGTGCATTCTTGCTCAAGGGCCGGAAGCTCAATGCAACCAGAAGTCTCCTTCCATCGCTTCTTCTTCCCGAGCTTTGAAATCTGCCTGGCAAGGAGCTTGCAGGCATAGTATTTAGGCAGCGGAGGCAACTTCTATAAATGTCGTACTTCGAGATTTGCCTTTGCCTTCAGCCCCCTCGCTTGCCGTTGACAGCAACCCCTCTAAGGAATCCCCGTAAGGGCTCTGCAAAGGCTCCCAGTGCCCAGGACTTCAAGACACAGTTGAGGCTGTATGTCTCGAAAGCATGCTCCTGAGAGAGGGGAGAACAGATGGACACATGTTTGCGTAGCAAGACAGACTCTCTGACACATACGCGCAGACAGACAGACAGACAGACAGCCAGGCAGGCAGGCAGACAGTGTGAGTGTGGGGAGCAAGTGCTAAGGGCTTAGGGCTAAGCCAACAACCTTAACAATAAACCGCACAAGGACTAAGGTTGTCATTGCGGAAACGGGGACCCCTGAACCCTAAACCCTAAACCGAGCCACAATTCCCGGAAATCCAGAAACCAAAGCCCCACACCCTCGAGCCGGTCTACGATCTCGGGTTCTAGAGTTTAAAAAACTGAAGTATATAGGGGTTTACAGGTTGTAAAGCTTTAAGGATTTGAGATTTAGGGCTAGTCCTAAACCCAACTGTGTAGACAATGTAGTTGTCGGTTCTGCGTGCAGGCAGGGTGCCATGTGGCACCACGGAGATCAAAGAATTCATAGGGGTCCGCCATGTTCCACCATGAGCTGGAACCAATTCCATATGCGAGGCTTGAAGCACTGCTGCTCAACAACAGACTACCAAGTTGAAGAAAAGATCAATGGCCCCGGTGGCTTCATGTCCCGTCTTGCCTAGATTAGGGCTTCGGGGTTCGGTTTCCTGGATGGTGTTATAGGGCTGCAGGGCTGCGGAGGCTAGGGTTCAAAGGCCATGTTCCACATGATGTCCGACCTGAGCTCAGGACCTACAAGCCAAACGATACATCCATGCCAACATGCCCTAAACCCTATAAACCCTATAAACCCTATAAACTCCATAAACCCTATAAGCCCTATAAGCCCTAAACCCTTATCCCTACATGCCCTCAATCTTGAACTGGAGTCTAGAAGGGCAAACTGCTTCGGGCTCTGTAGGTCAGCTGCATCTCGGCGGCGAAAGGATCAAGGCTCCAGTCTTGCAGCTCAAGGTGTGTAAGGCTTACAGGGCTTAGGATCTTGGGTATAGCATTCGGGGTGTAGGGTTTGGGGTTTATTGTTTAGGGTTACGGAACGAACCTGGGATAGTGGATGTGGACTCTCTGATAGGCACGACTTGCAACAAAGTCTCCTGGCTTTGTTCGCACGCCATTACCACAACTTCCAAATTCTTGGTAACTACAAGGGGTCTGTCCATCAGCAGTAGCACATTTCCGACCGACGACAGTGACGAACGGAGCTCTACCTCAAATTTGAACAGACCTGTGCTAGCGTGAGTTCACCACAACAGCCGGGGACCCTCCAAACTGTGGGCCCCCAATATCAACCAGCAATGCTGCCACACGCAGCCCTACTAAGCGAGCAAACCGAGAGCCCATGGACTAGGGTTTAGGGTTTCGAGATTAGGGTTTAGGGTTTAGGGTTAAACCCAGAACCCTAAACCATGCGCGACCTCAAGGCCGAGAAACTACAATCGCAGACTCTAAGCCTCAGGCACAAAGCTCCAAACCCTAGGGCAGCCTAACGAACCAAAACTCAAAGCCTGAATTCAGCCCGATGCAAGGCCACCCCTCTTAAACCCTAAACCCTAGGTTAGGGATTAGGGCATGGGGCTTTAGGGGTTCAGAGTTAAGGGCTTCAGGTTTGGGTGGCCCTAACCCCTAAATCCTAAACCCTAAAGCCTAAACCCTGAACCCTAAACCCTGAACCCTAAACCGTGGGAAGCCGAGACACTGACAGAAAGCCTGGGCTGACCTTGGCTCAGACCACTTTGGGGTCACCCCGGGGCGCTCACTACGGTTGATGATAGAAATCCTGCATTACCCAGAATAAGGAATATACCATAATTCCCATTGTTTACGGTCCTGAATTAACTTAAGGTAATGCAGGGTTTATATCATCAGCCGTAAGGCCTTATTAATTAGAATAGGGCCTTGGAGGATCGTATACTATAGTTGTACAGAGACTATACATACATGTATAGTCTCTGTACAACTATTATACGGATATCATTTTCAAGAGCAGAGGGTTTTTGACATGGTTTGATATGGCTTGATATGGATCTTGTTGTTTCTTTTGAAGAGCTTCGGATTCAGGCTTTCATGCTGAGCCTACCTAAACCCCCAACAGTAGGTAAAATAATGGCGCAAAAGCCATAAACGGCTATTATTATACAAACTTTCGGGGTCCAGGTAGGGTTTAGGTTTTTGGATTTGAGGAGAGGCGAGTTGCCTGCCCTGGAGTCCATAAGTTAAGGTTTAGGGCCTGCGTAGAGTACTGAGACTGATTGGGGAAGCTGAACAGAAGTCAGGGTTTATGGGGAAGCTGAAGAGAAGTGAGGGTTTAGATCACGTTTTGCCGAAGACGGGGGTTCTTAGTCAGACTGGCGGCCCTGCTTAGAACAGACTTATCAAACTAGGCTCCCTCTCACAAGAAAAACTTGTGTGCAAGTGCGGGATATGTCAACAAGGGTCCAGTCTGTCCTATGTAGCTACCACTTATTACTGTCGATGATACAAATCCTGCATTATCGTAAGGACCCTAAACTATGGGAACTATGGTATATTCCTTATTATGGGTAATGCAGGATTCATATCATCAACCGTACCAGAGTACATCCCTTTCGGAGAGAGTTTGGGGCACCCTGGTTCTAGCCAGAATGATGCGAGATGCAGCGTTGAGGACTCAGGGGCCTTGGTACGCGGTCTTCCGCTGTATTCGCCTCAATAACTACCTGTTCTACTTTGGGTCTTCCTCATCATAGTCCTTGGAGTACATTATACTATAATAACTATAAGTTATAGATCTAGTATGATGTACCCCAAAGACCTATTCTAACTATTAAGGCGCCTACGCCACATCCCCCAAAGGCTTCCATGGACTATTGCCTGAGCAGTCGGTAGGAAGATCATGGAATCTAAGCCATGCCTTTCGGGTTTGGGGCAGAGGTCGTCCACTCAGGCAAGTTTCTGTTCCCCTGACCAAGGGGATCATTACTGACCGGTCTGATTCAGGTGACAAAGAACCTTCTTGAGCCTTGGCAATTTTAGGGTGCAGCTCATGAACAAACTCCTTCCTTGCTTCCTTGCCTCTAGTAACAACCCCTTCCTTGCCTTTAGTAGCCTGTTCCTTATTACTGAACAATGCAGATCGCGGTCCGTCAACAAGGGCTCTGGTGTCTCTGAAGAGTCGAGACCCTAAATACTAAAAGCCCAAGACCCCAAACCCTCAACCTCCTAAACCCAAAACGCTAAAACCGTAAGCACCCAACCCAGTGAGATCACAGGATGGCCTTCTTTTTTCTTGCCTCCGGCAATCTTCCGCCGGCTCAGAGGGGCTCCCGCCCCAGCCACACAGCCTCCCCGAGAAAAATCGGTCACGGGTATACGGTATACTCCAGAGCCTCCCGGGCTTTCAGCCCAAAGAAGGTCTTCTAAATTCCAAGGCAGCAGAAGGGTAGTTGAGGATTCAAGGGAAAAGAACCAACCAAACACCTTTGGGAAGCCTGGTACCCTGCCCCTCGACCCTGAACCCTAGACCCGAATGACAGTATAATGCCCTTAGCGTTTAGGGTTCAGGGGCCCGAACCCCTCGTGTCCAGACTTTCACTCGAGGACCCTCGACGGTGATTCCCTAACCTTCAGCATCCTTCACCCCTACCTGGACGCTATAGAGAACCTACCTTTTTAGGGTTCCTTCTTATGGAATTCATTATACAACTCCTTAAAAAGGTAGGTTCTTTGGGGTTAAGGTAAACTCTCAAGCCCGAACCCGAGGTCTCGGTTCCTTGACCTTCAACCCAAAAGCCTTGCACCCACTTCCCTGACCCTTCCTACCCATAGGCTCCATAGTAGTTCCTTTTGGTGGTTTATATTTAGGATCCGATCAGGTAATCCCAAAAAGGAACTACTATGGAGCTTCTGGGTAGGGGTTCTCCAGGAACCCCTTAATAAAAAAGGAGTGTGCCCTTTTTTTCCTACTGCTTGGTTGTAATAGGGAGACCCCACACCAAAAAGGGCAAAAGGGTAATACTGGGGAACCGAGCTTCAACCCATAAACCTATTTTTCCAAAACCAAAACCCTATAGATTGCCAACCCCCTGCCCAAACTTGAGAAAAACACGAGAGCAAATCCTAACAGCTTTGAGACCTAATTCCCTGACATCTCGCCCCAAAACCCAGGAAAAATCCCACTACACTGAAAGTCAAGTCTTGAATCCTAAATCCCTCCCTTTAAGAAATAGGAAACTGAAAAGCTCCCCTACAAAATACATTGAGATCGCACGGTTGGCCTTACCTCCTGGGCTTTCTAGGAAACTAGAAGCACCTATAGTCTCCGTTGTAGTTCCCTTTCTTGGCTTAACCCATTTTACATTAAGGATCCTAACTCCTCAATGGTAACCCCGAACAGGAACTACAATGGAGACTCAGAGTACCCCTAAACCCTAAATCCAAAACCCCTAAACCCTAAACCCCTAACCCTAAAACCCTAAACCCTAAACCCCAAAACCCCTAAACCCCGAAATCCCTAAACCCTCTGACCTTCAACCCTCGAGCACCCCATCAGTTTGGTGGCTGCAGCTGCATTTGCAGCTCCTGGTCCAGAGTGTCCTTGGCCAACTGCATTCGAAAGTCTTGAGATAAACAAGGGTTTAGGGTTTAGGGATTTAGGGTTTAGGGTTATCTCTTACCCTAGGCTTCCAGGGACCTTAGTTTGGGGTCCTTAAGGGGTCTGGGGCCCTAACTATAAGGTCCTTCGGAAGCCTAGGGATAAGCAAGGGTTTAGGGTCTAGGCTTTTGTCGTGAGCATCTTTTTCGCGCGTCATCCGGAGGGTGTACTGTCTATAAGGGTTACGGCTTTCGCGTTTCTGGGCTTGCAGGTTTCCCGGCTTTGGGGGGTTCGGGCATATTACGCCATAGCCCTACAAACCCCAAACCCTAAACCCCTTTATAAACCCTAAACCCCTAAACCCAAACCCCAAACCCAAACCCTAAACCGTGCAGGGCGTGGCTTCGGGTTGCCGCTTGTGAAGCTTCGGGGTTGATACTTGAAGGATCATGGGACTTAGCATTTGGGGTTAAGTAAAGTAACTACATGGTTTAGGGTTTAGGTTTTTAGGGTGTAGGGGTTTGGGGTTTAGGGTTTAGGAGTTTAGGGTTTAGGGTTTGAGTATAACTCCTGTTAAGGTACTTATAACCTTACTTGCTGAATCCCATGATCCTCCCGGTACTTGTCAGGCCTCCGCTCGGACCCTAAACACAGATCTGCCTATCTGCTTGTAATTTAGGGTGTAAGGTTCTTGTGCGACAGTCAGACTCCAACTTATCAACCCAGTCCTCCAACCTCCATAGTGGAAGTGACGTCCACTCTCGTCCATACTATTTTATATGTGGGCAGTACTGAATAGACAAATAGTTTTCTGGTATATGCGTGTGTAGCAGAAGTATGAGAGGGTTGGGAATGTTACAGTTTTTCACGATTAGAGCTCACTCTAAACTCTACACCCTAAACCCCTAAACCCTAAACCCCTAAACCCTGAACCCCGGACCCCTGAACCCCTAAACCCTAAACCCCAAGCGTCTGGGGGTTTAGAGCTTCAGGAGTCGGTCCTCGAGGTAAGCTCAGCTAGGCCATACCAAAACGAGCTCGGACAGTGGTGCAAATCTTGCCCGCAACGTGTGGAATAGAGATCAGGCTAGGGTAAAGGGGGTGTGGAGTTGAGGGTTCGGAGTTCGGGGATTCTGCCAGCAGGGAGCAGCAACAAGACGGAACTCATACAAAAAGGCAGGCCGCAAGGCCCGTGCTGTCAAGCTGCAAGAAGAGCTCGTGTACATCCTGCAAAAACAGAAGCAACAGTGTAGGCAATCATCCTGTTTTTAATGCTGTTCTATCCCAACGTGAGCCCTACACTCAACTTCAGAACACGTTAGACCTACAGGCCTTGTACACAAACAGGACACTCTGCACGGCCTGCAAGCCTTGCTGCCTTGCACGCAAGCTCACCTCCGTCACCTCCTAAATCAAACACAATCGTGCAAGCGGAGGCTGTATCTAACATTAGCACAGCCATGTCTTCATACGAAGACATACGTATGTATACATAAAACACATGTACGCATGTTATATGATACTTTGTATGTGCATGTGCATATAAGTACGTACACATGTAGTTAGATAGAAGATGTGTGTGTGTGTATATATATACACATATATTTATGTATGTATNNTATATATATATATGTATATATGTTATCGGCGATTATACATCCAGCATCGTTTGCATTTGCACTGCCCAGTGATGGCTTGGGGTGCCCACAGAACAGGCGACCACAGCAGCAACCCCAGGTCGCAAAGAGCACGAGCTGAGTCTCCGGGTGCCCTGAACCCTTGGTCCGAAAATCTGGCTTGAGGTTTAGGGGTTTAGGGTT